GGAAAATAAATTTGATCTGGTTACATTAAAGATATTTATATAAGACCTGTTGTAAATGCATATAGTAACTCTAACTTAATTGTACAAATAATCCAAGAGACCTCAGTGTTGCTATTTTAATGGAGTCACAGATTCGGACCTAGTGAAATTCAAATTAATGAGCTTATATTGTATTAATAAAGTCTTTTCATGTGAGTTCATTGCTAGGAAGTGGAATTTCAAAAATTACTTTTCATTCATCAATTATTAGTTACAGTTAGGGAATGAGAAAGCACTCACCATGTACTTCAGACCTTAAAATTCTATGATATGGTTGAAAAGAATTGAGTTAAAAGACAAAGCAGATGCCAGTATGTCTTAACTTCAAATGTTAAATATAAAATGCCTTTAAAAAGTATTATTTGGTGTTTATAAAGAAATTGATCTTGTAGAAGTTGAAATTCTGTGATAAAAAGATCATCTAATTTCTAGCCTTTGCTTTGTTTACATTTAATTAAATGAAGAGGCTAAGTTTCCTTATATTGGATTTAATGTATTAAGATTCACATTTATTTTTTAGGTAGCTTGTGCAAGTAAGACACTAGACCCAGTTTATTTACCAACATATCTATAAATGAAATCATCTTCTAACATTTTTTTCTTCCTTCTCTTGGCTCCTTGGTTCGTAAAGAGGACAAGACAAAACGGAGGCAAAATTATCAGTGTTAATAGTAGCTGAAATGATACATTATTGGTATTGGTTAGGGGTAAAAGACGAATTCTTTAGTTATTTTAAGAGATCAGATGAGTGAGTACTAATGCTTAATATAGCACTTCACTGTTTAGAAAAGTCACATTTAATCAGTAGATTGAAAATCCTTTGAGATTAAGCATGCATATTTTACAAAATAGGCAACAGCGTCTGGCCCTGGTGAAAGGACTGTGACTCATATGCAGGTCTTCTGACCCTCAAGTCATGTTCCAGTCACCTTTCTTTTCTCTTGTCAGGTGACTGTTAAATAAATCTGACTTGAGTCTTGTCCAAGGGAGCTAAGTCATGCAACAGCCAGATGACTTTGTAAGGAGTGTGACTTAATTTTACGATGTGCTCTGAAGACAGTATGATAATGCAGTGTTACTAATCACAAATAAAATGTAAAGTTATGATGGACTTATTTGTTGTAGTCAGTACATTTTAATGTTCAGTTTTGATTTTAAATCAAGTGGTGAGGGCCGCAGTGTCCTCTCTAGGCATTATGGAGAAGAGGCTGTGATATGGCAGGTTTTAGGATGGCATATATTTAGAGTAACTCTTCCCCTAAACTAGACTAACACTCAGTTGCTTTATTGCTCAACTTTAAAGCATATCCCCCTGCCTTTTATTTTCTTTTTTTAACTTCCAAAGAATTATTTTGGCATGTTAGATTATTTCACAGGGATATTATATTTGGCTAAAGACCCATTTCTGAATAACCGTTATTTTGTCTGCCCATATAAATACAGTTCTGATTTCAAATTGTGGTTTGAGTTAGTGTTCAGTTTTTGTGGAGAAATATTCAGAATCTCTGATGGGAGGAAAATAAGGGTGCCTGGAGAAAAAGAGAAGTCTGTAGGGACCTTTGAAGTCAGTATTTGACTTTCTTTTCTAAACCTTTCCTAGTTAATACCGTTCTTCCAAGCCTTCCCTCCAAATTCTGAGGGTTTTTTCGTGGACTTTAGTATCAGAATATGTTTAAACTACTACTTGAAATTGAAACAGCCCTCTGCATGCCGGCAAGGATGTGCAGAGTTATCAATTCTCTGTCACATTATAGTTTAGGACTAACTTGTATTCTGATGAGTTTAAGAAATTTTTATTCTATAATTTTGGCCATTAGGCTGTTTTGACCCTACCTTTCAGAACAGAGATTTTAATGAAAATTATACTAATATTAATGAATTTCATCAAGAAGATATCTTTGACTTGAACTTTATTTTATTTATTTATTTATTTATTTATTTATTTATTTATTTATTTATTTATTTATTTTACGGTTTTATTTATTTGACAGAGAGCACAGGCAGGGGGAGCGGGAGCAGGAGAGGGAGATGCAGACTCCCCGCTGAGCAGGGAGCCCGATGCAGGGCTCAGGACCCTGGGATTGCGCCCTGAGCTAGAGGCAGACGCTTAACTCATTGAGCCACCCAGGCACCCCGAACTTTATTTTTTTTTTTAAAGATTGATTTGTGAGAGAGAGAATGGGGGGTCCGGGGCGGGGGAGGGGAGGGGCAGAGGGAGAGAGTCTCAAACTCCCTGCTGAGTGCAGAGCTGGATGCGGGACTCAGTCCCAGGACCCCAGGATCATGATCTGAGCCAAAATCAAGAGTCAGACGCTAAACTGACTGAGCCACCCAGGCGCCCCTTGATTTGAACTTTATTAATATAGATGTCTTGATCTGTTCTTTTATAGAGCAAAATTAAATTTTTCTAATTTATTTTATTAAAATTTTAATCAGCAAAATCAGCTCTTTGTTCTATGAATTTTACTCTGAAGATGTCTATCATTCAGTTTTATCTTTCTTTTCTTTTTTTTAATAAGAGACAGTATACTGTAGTGGTTACATTCTGGTTATGCTCCAAAGCAGTGCTGTCCAATAAAAATATAATGCAGGCCACATGTATAATTACTAATGTTTAGTAGCCATGTTAAAAATAAAAAGATACAGGTGAAGTTAATTTTAGTGACATTTTATATAGCTCAGAATATTATTTTGATATATAATCAATATAAAAAATCATTAATTTTAGAAGAAAGTAGATGGAGATCTGAGAGAAAGGGAAGGTGGAGGTAAATTTGACCTCTCTTCTCTGCTACCTTTCCATAGTGGGGGAGGATGAAACAGAAGACTGTGCCCATCGTTAGTGTGGCTCTTACTGTAGTCCATGAGTGGAATGGTTAATTCAGAACATCGACAAGATATTAATTTATTTGCTGTTCTTCCTCTGAATAGTTGAGAATTCTATTTACATTCAGAATGTAGTAGTAGAAAGGGCCCAAATAGCACCATGTGTTCGTAGTATATATGTGCACATTAAGAATCTAAAATGTCTTTTACTGACTCAGACTTTAATAGTAATCTTGTTCTCTCTCTTTTTTCTTAATGTCCACGCTTAAATTCCTTACTGGAAAGACAGGAAAGGAAACGTTTGTAGTAGATTTTCCAAACACAAATCTTGCTTTTATAATATGGTTATGGCAACCATCTCTATTTTGGTAAAGTTAGCCTATTACATGAATTACCATCTCTATTTTGGTAAAGTTAGCCTATTACATGAATTACATTTTGCAATTTAGATTTTTGCAATTTAGAAGAACCACAAGCCATTGCAAACAATTAAACCGGACATTTTTGTATATACACTTAGTACTTTAAGTCAGAATATTAGGCATTGTGCAAGGCAGATTGAAAACATAAAGCAGATGGACCTGGCCTAATCTGTAGGGTTTAGAGAAAACTTTGAGGAAGTGACCTACAAACTTAGATGTGAAGGTGAATAAAAGTTAATAGGCGGTCCTGATGGAAAAGAGCTTTTCAGGTAGAAGAAAAAATATCTGCAGAAGTCTTGTAGTAGGAATTGAGAGTCCAGAAATAAACCATACATTTCTCATCAGTTGGTTTTCAACAAGGGTGCCAAAAAAATAGTTTTTTCAACATACGGTGCTGGAACAACTGGATATCTACGTGCACAAGAACGAAATTGATCCTTACCTCACACCATGCGTGAAAATTAACTCAAAATGGATCACAGACCTGCATTTTAGAGTTAAAATTATAAAACTTTTAGAAGAATATACAGGAATAAATCTTAGTGATGTTAAATTAGGCATTGATTTCTTTGATGTGACTCTAAAAGCACAGGTAACAAAAGAAAAAAGTTGGACCTCATCAAAATTAAAAACTCTTGTACTTCAAAGGATAGCATCAAGAAAGCAAAGTGACAACCCACGGAATGGAAGAAAATATTAGTGAGTCCTATATCTGACAAGGGGACTTGTATCCAGCTACCACCAGGAAAATGCAGCATAATTCAGAATAGTTTTGTGGAAAGAGGTCAGAGTCTAGTGTTTGGATTGGAGTGTTTCTTGATTTGAGAAGTAGAGCGCTGCTGCAGAGCAATCTCTTCATTTCTTTCAGAACCAAACTTGTAATCTAGCTTGGGTAAGCATCTCCTTCAGCTCAAATTATCCATTTCTGAGGTGACAGGTATCAAAGCTCCCTAGGTCTGGCTGAGAGTTCCTTCGTCTGGGAATTGTTGGCCCTGTGGCACAGTTGGATTTATGAACAGGGTATCTCCTGTTGTAATTCTAGACTTTGCCTGTAATACTGCTTGGATTCCAGCTGTTCCACGAAGATTTTACAGATTTAAATAAGAATTATAAAAGTCCAGCACTCTTCTGAATTAGTCACATAAGCTATCGTTATTTTGATTAGTAGTTGAGAACCAGTGATCTGAATTGGGTTTTGCAACCTATATACCTCAGAATACTTTGTCCTATGAGCTGCACCCCGAGCCGTGCTCTTAGTTGTATTAAATATTCTTCTTAGCTCACCAAAAACCAGAGTCCAGCCAGGAAAATGGAAAAGGAAAATCTAAAATTGTCCTTTCCATTTCTCCCCCATTAAAGAGTGGCTCTGGAAATGTTTTATGCACGGAAGCAGTGGTGAAAAATCTCTTTTTTGCTATTAAGTTTCTGAAGAGAATGAAAACCCTTTTTCGGTTTTTAAATTTTCTGTTGAAGAATCGAATACTTTATTGGGGATAAACTGTGTGAATAAAGGCATAGTCTGGCTGCCAGGTAATTTCTATACCAGAAAGCCCAGTTCCTGAACCAAAGAAGAGATGGAAGTTATTAAATATTACTAATTAGAATAAGTGTATATATTCAAAATTTATAGGAAAGATGTTATAAATCTCATTATATATTCATCCAGGCTATTTTAATCAGTTAATGACTATCTTTATTCACGTTTTAAAACAGATGAACTCCGACAAGAAATGCTGGATGATGTACAAAAGAAATTGATGAACTTAGTAAACAGCACAGAAGGAAAAGTGGACAAGTATGCTCTGCCTTTTAACTTTTATGTATTTTATGGAGATTACCTTTACGGTAAAAAGAACTTCTACATGTAGATGTTTATATGTGATTAAGTTTTTAAAAAGGCTTTTCTTGTATGGTGATGAGATGTAGGTTGTTTTCATGAGGAGTCAGTAGAATAACTTCTCTTGGTTTTTAAATGGATTTTTCCCAGCTCAAATTCTTTTTCTTAACCATGTGGAAGAGTTAAAACATCACCATAATAGGAAGTATGTAGAAAATAAAAAGTTTTATTCTTAGCATTCTTTTTAACTCTCTCTAGCTGTCCTTAAAGAACATACCTTGCTTCAGTGCATTAGGTTTGAAACCTAGGTATATATGTAATATATCATTAATATTTTAAAGATTTAGATATTATTAGCAAATTTTTAATAAATGTGAGTGTGGGAGTAGAAGCATACCTGTGAAGCACAAGAGCTGTCCTCACCATTTGAGGTGGGGAGGGAGACATTGGGAGTATCTTAAGGCAGAAGCCAGACAGACACTCAGAGTCACTGAGCACCATCTCAGTTGATTGATTTGGTTGGAGAAAGTAAGTGGGTAATAACTGATGTTTTAAAAGGTATGCATTTTTAGATTGTTTGAAATGTCTTTGATTAGACTTGTCAAGAGGTTTTTTTGTTTTGTTTTTTTAAGTACTTCAAAATCTTTTGTTGTTTAGTGGTTTCTTGGTAACTTTTTAAAGTATAATATATGTTTAGTGTTTATTGTGTGGGTACACTAAATATGGGGATAACTATTGAGTTAGCCTGAGTTGTTTCTGCCTTTATTTTCACAGAGTCCTAATGAGAAACCTCTTCATTGGACATTTCCACACGCCAAAACATCAGCGCCACGAGGTGCTACGATTAATGGGAAGCATCCTGGGTATCAAGAGGGAGGAAATGGAGCAGGTAACTGAACAATGGAAAGCCGTTCTGAATATTTTTATAACTCAGGTAGTGGCATCATATAAAAGTGTCTTCTTTTACTCTATATTATACAGCTTTTCCTTTTTCTCAGTAATGGGGAAATGGACCAGTTCGTACTACCATGAAGAGGTGGATCTGTTCAACTTGTGTAATACTAGTTTTGTCACTTACAAGTCATGTCTCCTGTCAAAATGCTAAATTTTGAGACATGACAAGCCTCAGCTCTGATTTGAGATAGTGCTTAGGATGACATTTTATTGTATGTGTAGCCTCTCCCAGTAAGAAACATTTACTAGGAATTGGATTTGAAAAGCATAGTGTGCTACCATCTGAAATCAAGTAAAAATAGTTCTTTTTTCTTTTCTTGTATTGATAAAACTTTTCTGTTTTAAAATAATCTTTTAGTTGCTTCATGAAGATCAGGGTGGTGTTACCAGGTGGATGACTGGGTGGCTTGGAGGAGGATCAAAAAGTGTCCCCAACACGCCTCTGAGACCAAATCAACAATCTGTGCTTAATAGTGTAAGAGCCAATTTTATTCTTGCTCTGAATATGAGTGATGAAATGGTTGTGCCTTACATTCATTTGTGAAAATCAGATTTCTTTTTTAGGTTATTTTATTATACAGCCCTTTTATTTTGGAGTGGAAACTGAGATCCAGAGAGGTGATTAGCTTAAGGATAATAAGCCAGTTTGTTTATTTTATTTGTTTATTTATTTTTAAAGATTTTATTTATTTATTTGACAGAGAGCACAAGCAGGGAGAGCGGCAGAGGGAGAGGGAGAAGCAGGCTCCTCACTGAGCAGGGAGCCCGATGTGGGACTCAATCCCAGGACCCTGGGATCATGACCTGAGCTGAAGGCAGACGCTTAACCGACTGAACCACCCAGGTGCCCCATTAAGCCAGTTTAAATAAATTTATTGCATATATGTTTTATTTTAGCTTTTTATTTATACAGTACTTTTGTTTTTCAAAGTATTAAGTATTTTTGTATTTGATCATGCTGCTATAGGCACAGCATCATTTGTCTTACTATTAAATTACGAGATTCTTAAAGACAGAGGCTTTATTTTATGCATGTTTGTATCTACCTGGTCATTCAGCACTTACTGAGCGCCTGCTGTGTACCAGACTGTTCTCAACTTTGGGGATGCAGCAGCAAACCAGAAGACAAAGTGCCTGCCCTCAACAAACTTACATCTTGGCAGCAGGAAGAAGTTAATAAACATGAAAGCACAGTGCCTAGTAGTCTGAATGAACATTAATAAATTGAGTAGCTCGGGACACCTGGCTGGCTCATTTGGAAGAGCATTGACTCTTGATCTTGGGGCCATGAGTTCAAGCCCCACATTGGGTGTAGAGATTACTTAAATAAGTAAATAAAAAGTAAACTAAAAGTAAATAAATTGAGTAGCTGTGAATTATAATGTGGAGTTTGCTTCTTTATTTTACTTTGTTTTTTAATAAAGAAGAAACTGAGGATAGGTAACATACCCAGAGCTGGTTGAAGATAAAAAAAAATACCCTAGTTTAAATCAGATGGCATGAAATTTATTTTAAAGGAGAGGTCTAGGGGTGCCTGGCTGACTCAGTTGGTGGAGCAGGGGTTGTGGGTTTGTGCCCCATGTTGGGTGTAGAGATTACTTAAAAATAAAATCTTATAAAAACAAAGGAAAGGTTTACACTACATTATTTTAATCTGATAATATTACTGGTGAGTTTTTGCTATATTCATTGATTAAATATGACTTTTAATACTTGTTTTTGATGCTGTGTTTCATGTCCATGTAAATAGAACTAAAATGATTTAAGATGATGTCTTAAGTGCCATCAATGGCAAGAAATTTGTCATCAGGTAGCTAATTATGACTAAAGTTTGTAACAAATGTTATCATCAAATATTATTGATTATATTGCTAAAGGTTTTAATTGATAAACATAACTAAAGCACTAGTAGTTTTAATGGTTCATAAAGCTTAATTATAAAGAAATGATTTAGAAGGCATGATTAGTTTTTGATATTTAATTAGAGTAGCTGGTACATTTTTTTGCTTGTAATAAGTATAATTTAATATCTGCCTAATATATAACCCAAATATTATTTCCTTAGTCTTTTTCAGAACTTTTTGTTAAATTTCTAGAAACAGAATCTCATCCATCTGTTCCACCACCAAAGCTTTCTGTTCATGATATGAAACCTCTGGATTCACCAGGAAGGAGAAAAGTAGTTACAAATGTACCAGAAAGTTTTAAAGGTAAAACCAGATATTTATTTTTTCTAGAATTTAAAAAATTGAATGTTTAATTTATGATTATGTTTTACCGTGATCCTAACTAAATTTTTAGTGTTTTTGAAAACATGCAGTGACTTCTTCCAAAATTCCAGTAAGGTATTAGATTTTGGCTTCATATATTCTGTAGCAATCTGATACTTAATTAGCTTAGATTAACCTATACAATATGAAATATTTTTCCTTTGTATATTGAAATAACTCTTCTCTCTGCATAAGCCACTTTGAATTATTCTTGGAAGTGCTGGTGAACCAGTAAACCTTTGCTTGGTCGTTTGTTTTTCTTTCACACTAATGGTGCTTATTGCTAAATTAGAGTTAAAAGTGTAGTTTATATTCAGATTGTTTCAGTTTCTCTGTTATAAATATTGCTGTGATGAACATCCTTGATAAATTTTTGCACACATCCTTAATGTTTCCCTTAAGATTAATTTTTGAACGTATATTACCTACATGTAGACATTTCTTAAAAATTAAAATATAATGGCAAATTACCCTCAAAAAAAAAAAAGTGTAGTTTATAGTTAGAGAAAGGTTTTTCTCCCTGTGAACATCTAAGTGTGAACATTCAATAACCAAACCTTGGTATGTTAGTAATATAATTTATAAGAGCGGTTTAGTAAACTGGCTTAGACATCCAAGAATGTACTGAAGCATTCTTGTATTTTAAAAGGTCTGCCTAGAAACAAATGGTTTGCTGGTTCTGTGATCTGTGTGTATAGTTTTCTATCCCACTAGGTCGAAAGGGCCTTATTTATATTTATGTCCCAATATTACAGGCATGCAGTAAATTTTCTTGAGTTGAAATTGCAGTATAATCCATTAGACTATGAACAGATTGTTTATTAGAAAGTCTCTTTTATCTGAAATCTTCGTATTTTAATACAGACTAAAATGTTCGCTAGTTGGACTGTAAAAGTGTATGTTATTATATACTCTCAAGTTTATATCACATCAGATACTTAAATTTGGATAAAATATTGAAGAATTTATATTTTGAAATTTTAAAAAACCTCTCTTAAAGTCTAATTTAGCTGAATATTTCTGTTCTCCTGAACTTTTATATAAAAAATGGTAAAATTTGTTTGGATAAAAGGTGTGGCTCCTAAATGTAATAAAAAGTCTTCACTTTAACAGCTACGGACTATACTAAAAACACTTTTTTCTTGGGGTGAGTGGGTGGCTCAGTTGGTTAAGCATCTGCCTTCGGCTCAGGTAATGATCCCAGTGTCCTGGGATTGAGTCCCGCATCGGGCTCTCCCTGCGTCTCCCTCTCCCTCTGCCTGCTGCTCCGCCTGCTTGTACTCTTTCTCTCTCCCTCTGTCAAATAAATAAATAAAATCCTTAAAAACAAAACAAAACCATACTTTTTTTCTTGCTACACTAGGTTGTAGCATCTTCAAGTGGATTCCAGAATTCATGGTGGCAATGTCTCCTGCTCCCTGTCCTCCCTTCCGTCTCCATCCCTTCCAGCTCCGTCTCTCCCCCCTCCATCCCTTCCCCTTCTTCCCGCTCTTCTTCCCTTTTCTCCCTCTCTTCACTTATCAAGACATGTGCCCAGCTTGGTTTGGATTGATCAGAGACAAAAAGCCAGTGATATTCTGAGCTGGTACAGGGTTTACATTAAAAAACAACAACAAAAGAGAAGCTTAGTCTTTAATGCTGGATTTGGAAGTGTGTGACAAGGGTCGGAGCTTACTAAGGAGCACCAGAAGCTTTTCCAGAGTTTGGAAAGTTGTCATTCACGGAGAAGTAAAGCTTGGGGACCCAGTAAACCAGTGAAGTTGATTGGATGAATTTGTCTCAATGCCTTCTTTGTATTAGAGGCTTCTTTTTCTTTTGAGTTTCCCATTGCTTGAGTAGTGCTTGTCTCTTAACAAGAAAGTTGTTAGTCGTCTTGGGTAATAAAGCAGAATTCTATCCACCAGGACATTAGGGAATTAACAGATACCTATTCCAGTAAAAAACTAGTTTTAACGTAACTTGATAGAGAAATAATCTAATGGAGAATTGTTTCAAACCTCTGAATGTCTAAAAAAGGAGGATCAGGTAATGTAATGTGAAAAAATTGTTTTTCTTTGGGTAAATTATTATTAAATTTGATTGTTATCATTGTGGAATTGGTGCCAGTTTTTTTCATGGCCCTCATAATTGTTGGGGGGAAAGGAGTTCTCAAATCTTTCCATGTTTCAGGTGAATAGTTAGAAAATTTGCATTGTAACCTAGAAAACACCCTCTGAGAAGCCGTTATTAAAGTAAATGAAGTTGGGGCGCCTGGGTGGCTCAGTCATTAAGTGTCTCCCTTCGGCTCAGGTCATGATCCCAGGGTCCTGGGATCGAGCCCCACATCGGGCTCCCTGCTCAGCAGGAAGCCTGCTTCTGCCTCTCTCTCTGCCCCTGCTTGTGTTCCCTCTCTCGATGTCTCTCTCTCTCTCTCAAATAAATAAATAAAATATTAAAAAAAAAATAAAGTAAATGAAGTTCATCAGTTATATAACTGTTATTTGGATATCAAACAACAATATTAATGTGTTTAATAAAGTATTATCTGTGCATACAGTTATTCCTCCCTCCCCAGTTCTTTCTCCATTCCTCTTGCTTCCTGTCTTGTCTTTTTTTACCCTTTATATGTCATAGACCCAGCTTAGTGGATCCAGAACCCTGCAGCATAGGAATTAAATTTATTCGGGGGCCAAATCTAGGAACCTAAAACACATGTATAGTGTTAACTAAATAATATATAGGAGATTGACTAACTTGTATTTTATCATCTAGATACCACAGAATCCAGATCTGGTAGAAGAACAGATGTGAATCCATTCTTGGCTCCCCGCTCTGCGGCTGTGCCTCTCATTAACCCAGCTGGACTCGGACCTGGGGGGCCTGGGCATCTTCTTTTGAAACCCATCTCAGATGTGTTGCCCACATTTACACCTTTGCCAGTGTCACCTGACAACAGTGCTGGAGTTGTGTTGAAAGACCTTTTAAAGCAATAGGTGATTCTCAAGCCAGAGACAACATACGTAGCACTTTAAAGAAACCATAAACACTATATGTATGTACTTTACCACAAAGTGGCCTTTCAGAAAAAGTCATGTATTTGTTTGCAGTTGTACATTCTCTAAACTTAATAAAAATATTCTTTTTGCTTTTAGAAATTGCAGGTGTCACAGGAGGAAGTGTTTGCTGTAGTATATGCTTTTTTTCTTCTCTGATTTGGCCTAATTTAAGCTAGAAACATTTGATCTTTCATCTTAATTTACAAAAAAAAATATAAAGAAAGATAAAAGTTTCTAGTAGCTATATATCAGCTCTTTATTTCTATGATTTTCAAGCTCATTTAAGCTAGAGACCTGTGGTTTATCTTTTAAAGATAATCAAGAGATTTACAAAAAAGAAGGAGAAAATAATAGTGGCTTATCTGTATAGTGCAAACAATTGATCTGAAGCATATATTGGTCATCTTTTTTTTTTTTTTCATTAGTCCTCTTGAGAGGACTTTGTGTATAGACAGGCCAACAACAGGGTTGTGCCTCGGAGATCATAGGTGTCCGGACGTGGAATGTGTGTGTGTTTGGTTCTATGCAATTTTATCACACGTTGTCGATCGCTGTGATCAGCACTACAGTGCAGTGCAGATACCCAACAGTTTCATCAAGGCCCTCTCGAGCTGCCCTATTGTATTTTATAATCGCAGCCTCCTTCCCTTCCCGTGCCCGCCTAATCTCTGGCAACCATTGACTGCTCTCAAGCTCTGTAATTTGGTCACTTCAAGAGTGCTGTATAAATGGACTCGTGCAGTATGTAACCTTTGGGATTGGCTTTTTTCACTCAACATATTTCCCTTGAGACCTTTCCAAGTTGTTACATGTATCATGCTTTGTTCCTTTTTAATGTTGAGTTACATATGGTGGAGATATGATTTAGTTTTAAGAGCCAAGGTATCTTTTTAAAGGTATCATCTCAAAAACGTTTGCTCACACACATGCACACAGCTTTTGGGTAAGTGTTAAGTTGAACAGCTGCATTTACGTACCTATAGTTGGCAATATCACGGAACGGGATACCTCCTGCCCTTTCTGCGGAGGGATAGAAGAGGCACGTTGGTCCGGGAGTCCCCGGTTCTCATCCTCATGGTCACTGAGGGTGGTGACGTCAACAGCACCCGCACCGGGTGTTTGCAACTGAAGAGGAAGGGAGTAGTTCTTTAATTTTTCACAAACCCATCCTAAAAAATCTTGACCTGGAACTTAATTATATCGGGATGTTTGTGTTTGTATTAGTCGTTGGAGTTGTACATTTGAAGATATTTCTTGCGAATTTTGTAAATTTCAGTATACCTTGAAAATAGAAACATCTGTATAACAAGGAAAGGTGAAAATAATATTAATTCAAATATGTAAATAGGCCTGGCCCTGGCCAGGGCTCAGTTTGGTTGTTTGTAAATTTTGCTGTGATCAACTGTCTACTGTCTACTGTTTAGATTGGAAGATTAGAAGTCTTCGTGTGTGGATGGGTAAAGCTCGTTTTTCTGAAATGTTTAGTAGCCGAGACATCGCTGCTTCAGAACATCATCTGTCTCCCGAGCTAATGTATTTATATCGCCGTTCTTTGTTCAGTCCACTTTAAAGGAAGTTGTACAGGTTCTATATTAGAACTGTCAAACTGCCTCTTGTCCGTTTTGCCCATTATTATTTCTCTATGAAATTATTACCTTTAGGTTTTATATGATCCTTCCAAAGATGCTTTCACTGGCCATCCTAAATTATGTGCTGCTTGCCATTGAAGTTTCATTTCAGTGTGGAGCATCTGAAATAAAAGTTTCTAAGTTAAAAAAAAAAAAAAAAGACACATGATCCTTCATTTTGAAGAAAGAGAACATGCAAAAAAGAGTTTCATCTTTTAATTTGAAAAGCAGATGCATGCTACATATTTAAGTAGCATATCATCATATTTTAAAGGCCTTTGAGGACATTTTGAGCATTTCCTCCCCCCCAGGTTTGAAAGCGGTTATGGGTGGATTGCATATTTAACATCACAGCATGACCTTTCATGGCTGCTATTTAAGTATGTGACTTTGTCTTCAAGCTGTGGTACCTAATGTTTCAGTTGTATTATGGTTGAAACTATAGCTCACTGGTATGCATACTAAGTGTGTGTTGATCTAAACCAGACATAACTCATCTACTTTTCTGAAACCAAGTTGTGTCAGAGATGAGCCATCTGCTCAAGGAATCTTAGTAACCATACAATGATGAAGCATATAATTGTTATGTTAGCAATAGGACATGGCAAACGGTATTTTTACTGCAATATTTTAACTACAGTACTTTTACTGTTTACTTCTCTCTAAACTTACTAGAATTTGTGGTTGAATTTTGCTTTAGCTGCCAGTTTTTCACAACATTCCTAATGGTTTTCAACTGCTATAATATAGTAGAAAAGCCATCCAGCCATTGAATTCGATTTTAATATAATCCTGTATCATGGTTGGTTGAGTTTTTGACCCTGCCATTATCGATTTTTAAAAGAAAAAAAAAGAAACAAAACTAAAATAACAAAAACATGGGGAAAAAGGAATGACTTTCTTAAAACCAGCCAATTAAAATATTAACTATCCTCTGCAAACAAAGCCTCCCGTTTATTTTAACCTTTTAATGGTTAATTGAAAAAGGGGGAAAAGACTCAAGATACTTATCCAATTAGTAGATGGAAAACAAACTTCGTCTTCAGGGATAGGGGAGTGATAAAGAAGTAATGGGGGAGTGCCATTGTGCGTCAGACTTAAAGCATTTGAATCTGATTTTTCAAAACCAATGAAGTTTTTCATAAAGTATTTAAAATGTCTTCCATCCACAAAAATTTCTTTTAATTTTGTAAATATCAAGTAAGTATAACTGATATTTATTTTATATATTCCTATGGAAAAAGTAATGGTATTTTAATGTTCTGACATTTGTGATTATTTGCCAGTCTTTACTTTTTAACTTATTAAGGTTTCTCTAATTAAACTTGATAAGTTGTCTTTTGGTTTTTAGGGAAATATCTAAATGTGGGAAATTTACAACCCAACCTTAATATTGGGTTGTGTTTTATAGAGCTAAAGTCAATGCATTTCTGAATTTCTCAGGAGCACTGCAAGGCAAAAAACTCCAAATAAAAATGATATATGTAAGTTGGCAATGTCTTTATCCACAATAAAAAAGTTTTTTTAGCAAACAGCTGCTGACTTTTTCTTTAGGAGGGGGAGAAATGACTTACACATGTTGTTTATAGCAGCAGTTGAACTACGGAAGCTAACGTCTTCAAGTGTTCACCGGATGTTGCTGTTAGGATGCCGTGTGAGCCTTGGAAATGTTAAGTATGAACAATTTAATAGATGCCGAAGATTTTGTATGAAAAGAGGATCTGAGAGGTTTTAGCCAGACTTTTAATTTTTTTCCAGAGGTAATATGCATCATTGGGCTCTTGGTTTTTCAACAAGATAATCAGTTATGTCTTCCATTTTTTTCTGAGATGTAGTACTTTAATATTTTTAACAGTTTATGTGATGGTGGTATTGGAAGAAGCATGGTTTTTAGAGCTGGGAGATGGAGTACTGATTTTGATAGATCCTTTCTCTGTGATCTTTAACAAAATTGCCTTGACTATGAGACTGATTTCTTTCATCTTTGAACCCCCACATAGTAAATGGTCAGATAACATATTCATTCACAATATTAAATGAATTAACCATCACTTGTGGAAGTGCTTTATTTATAAAGCCTATAGTTCTACACGGATTTTAGAAGTTGTGATTATTACTGCCAAAAAGTGGGTAAGAATGTCAGGGGTGGGGGTGTTACTGAAGCCAAGGGCTGTTCAAGAGGGTAGGAAGAGGTCAAAAGTGTGGAAGTACTTGCTACCCTGCCTGGCAAGGTAAGTTTTGAGAAGAATCCATTGGATTTAGGGACTGGGAAGTTGTTGGCTTTGAGCTTGAGCCGTGTTCATGGAATGGCAGAAGCAAAAGCCATATTGTCAAGTGGGTTGAGTTGGTCATGAGCAAGTAAAGATGTGTTTGTAGGCGACTCTGAGAAATCAGGCTGTGAGGGGGAAAGAGGACTTGAGTAGATGAGTTGGGTGGAGGGAAAGTTGTGTTAGGATGGGAGGCTGAAGCCTGTGTGAGTGCTCCTGGGAGGACACAGCTTAGGCCAGACCAAGAGGCTGAAGACCATGCAGAGTTCCTGAGAAGGGGGAGCTGATAGAAGCAGAACACGGGGGGAGGGGCGCCTGGGTGGCTCAGTCGTTGGGCGTCTACCTTCAGCTCAGATCATGATCCCGGGGTCCTGGGATTGAATACCACATTGGGCTCCTTGCCTGGTGGGGAGCCTGCTTCTCCCTCTGCCTGCTGCTCCCCCTGCTTGTGCTCGCTTGCATGCTCGCTCGCTCTCTCACAAAATCTTAAAAAAAAAAAAACGGAACACGGAGGGTTGGCCTGAGAGAGGAAGGCTGCCTTTCTTGGGACAGGAGTGAGGGAAGGGAGGGCAGGTGGCGGGTGGATTGAGGTGGAGGGAAGTTGTGGGAATTTAATTCGGTGACGTTGGCAGGGAGTTTATCTGCTAAAAATGAGGGGGTGGGGAGGGTCTGAGGCAGGAGAAACCCAGTCAAATGGTAGAGAGAGACGTGTGCAGATCACTGGAGGAATGTGAGACGTGCCAAGCACTTGGAGGCCTCACGGGCAGGGGCCAAATGGGGCCAGGGGGAATGGTGGTTAAGCACATGTTGGAGCGAGATTTGAGCACTCTAGAAGGAAGCAAGCTAGCAAATGAAATGTCAGAAGAGGCAAACAGTTCTTGCCCTTAACCAGCAATCATGGGATATAAAATGTTACGAACCTGAACCTTGTTTTCCTGTCCTTGGGACTTAGGTCATGTGAACATAGGATATATCTGAGGGGTTTACAGCACGCCTTTGCCATAATTAATACATCTAGTGAATTAATCGTTCACTATAATTACAACAGTATTTGCTTTGGAGATAAAAATTCAAGAATGTAAATAAATAAAAACTTAAGGCAAATATTTGAACCCTTAGTTGGTTTTCTGCCTTGGTTCTTCTGTGCATCAGGCTTTCAGCCCTCCTGGGGTTAAGAAATGAATGATTTGCTCTATCATGATACCATAACTGTGATCATTTTCATCTGTGGCTCTTTTCACAAGATCCTCTCCTGTTCAACTCCAGCATCCTCTGACCCTCAGAAATTAAGTCTCAATTGAAAATACTGTGAACTTAAGAGTTTCGTAAGGTTGTTTCCCAGATATCTTTGGCCTGTTAGAAATGTAAGCGACATCATTTTTTCTAAAATATGTGGCATTTGGGGATGCCTGGCTGCCTCAGTCTGGGGAGCGTTCGATTCTTGATCTCGGGGTCGTGCGTTTGAGCCCCACGTTGGGTGGAGAGATGCCTTTAAAAATAAAATCTTTAAAAAAATAAAATACAGGCGCCTGGGTGCCTCAGTTGGTTGAGTGGCTGCCTTCAGCTCGGGTCATAGTCCTGGGGTTCCGGAATCGAGTCCCGCGTCGGGCTCCCTGCTCAGCGGGGAGTCTGCTTCTCCCTC